TATATACTTACACATAAATATATATACAGATCTATATATGTATATAACTGTGTGAATGAGAATACAAACTATGAGAAAAATAAAGATATAACAAGAAAGAAGAGGGAGAGTTGTGAGTCGAATGTATTCACATCTTAAAACACTTCATGCATTCATTAGTCCCGTAGAGGAAGTACCGAGATACTCACGTATCCCCCGCAGGTACTTCAGGAGGGCAGCGAACTCCCCGTCGGAGGCCGAAGGATAGACAACCAGCTCCCCGCCGATGGCCGAGCACAGGGCCCTTGCCTCCCCCCACCCGACCTAGAGAAGGCGGCGAAGGAAGGTGACGACCATGTCCAAGTATTTGGTATATTGGTACCCGTTTATTTGCAGTGCCAATTTACTCCGCGTTTTGTCTACGTTCTCTGATCTACGTTCTACAAAAAAAAGTTAGTGTCTGAGACAATAATGTCCCAACAGACGCCTTACCTTGACGAAGTAGAGGAGGGAGAGGCACTTGTTCCCGACGCTGGTGTAGAGCTTGGGGCATCTCGGGTGGTGGAGCGTGTCGTTGAAGGTCCGAGCGAACCTCTGACCCAGCGCCTCGCTCTCCTCCACGTTGTTGGGCGGGGGAGAGTTGGGGTCGGGCGTCGCTGAAAACATGGTGATTACTTTAACAAGTTTTTCCACGCAATTATCAAGCTTTATATGACATTCAGTTTCCACTTTAGGTCATGCTACATCAGCCCAAGTCTATGAGATTTATTAATTAAGGAGCTTTATGTTGTAAAGCACATAATGAAAAAATGATTCCGAATTCGCAAATGTTCATGAAAGTGAAAATAATTTTCATTATGTAGACATTCTTAGGGAGAGGTTTTCCCGTCCTTGCCTTTCGCTTTCCTGTTTCCCACGGACCCCTATCCTCATAAAACAACCATATTCATGAACCGTATTCATGTTGACAAATGTAGAAAGGTATGAATGAGGATGAATATCGTCACAATACAAGAGATGTATTTAAATTCTTGTATTGTGAAGATATCCATTCTAATTCATACCTTTCTACAAACTATGTTCATGCTGCAAAGGATATTGTAACTCAAGATAAGGTCACTAGAGATTGATTGTGTTTTGCAGTACTTATTCAAAAAATATTAATAGAACATCTCCATTTCATTATGGATTAAGTATGGTAGCTCGGACTTGAAAAGTTTTCATGCTGGTAAAGTAAAGATTGTAATGTGATGATAATAATTAGCAATATTGTATTTATTAGGAGGGATGGTGATATTCATATTGCGTATATGTGCGAATTATAAAAGCAAATTTCAGTGCATGTTCATGTATGGCTTTCGTTTTTGTTTATTACATATCTATAGTCATATATCTAACTTATTATTTCACTCACCCGTAGTTGTAGTGGTTGTGGTAATAGGATTTCTTAGCTGGTTTCCCTAAAAGAACGATTTTTAATTCATTTCTCATATACATATGTGTGTGTGTGTTTTTGTGTGTGTGTGTGTTTGTGCGTGTGTGTGTGTGTGTGTGTGTGTATTATATATATATATATATATATATATATATATATATATATATATATATATATATGACAGTCTTGTGTTATTTGCTTTTATCTAGTCAGCAAGACATATATTTCAATGAATCATATTTCAACACAGGAAGTACAACAGTCACTTACAGAACAAATTTCTTCGTCGGAGTTGTCGTCGCAGTCTCTTGCACCATCACAGATCTCATCGCGTGAGATACATTGCCTTGTTGTGGCACACTGAACCGACCAATAATCACAAAAGCTGTTAACTGAACAAGTGAAAATATAAATTATATTAGCAATAAATGTAATAGTGATGATAACGAAATTATATTTCTGAAGAGAAATTTAGTAGGAAGTAAGCACCGGTCACTAAGGCAATAAGATAAAAGTGACAAATTATCAAAGAGCCTCAAAATGAGCAAAATGTGTGCTTGTGCTGTGTGCGTCTAATTGCCCACGCATTGCAAGTCCTTATGCGTGAATGTGTTGA